TTTTGTTATATTTCAATATAACATTCAAACAATATAGTTGTCTCAGATTCAATATCCCGCATTCCTTATATAAAAGATCTGTAGAATATCGGTGGGGTTTTTTTCTAAAATCATAATCCATAACATGCATTCTACTATATTTTGTAATTCTTTGTTGAGTATGGAAAATTCAGAATTTTTCAACATGTTATTCCGTGATTTATAATAATGAAATAATCTATTTTTGTACTTCTGCAATAAGAATGGAAAATTCAGAATTTTTCAACATGTTATTCCGTGATTTATAATAATGAAATAATATATTTTTGTACTTCTGCAATAAGAAATCGATCATTGGACCCCTTAGGTTTCAGACCAAAGTTTTTAGTATGAAAATTTCTTAATCTATGTATGTGTATACATGAAGTAGCGCTGCAAACATTCTTGTAGATTGTAGATTATGTATATGTATATGTGTATCTGTGCATACGTCTATACATAAATGAAAGTTATATATTTCTATTTCTATTTTATTATAAACGTGACTAATTACTGTCTTATTTTAATAACATATATTACTTTTACTTTAACTATTATTACGTATGCTATTTTCTATGTACCTGACGATTTCTATACGTGTTCAATCATGTCAAAAAAAATAAAGATTATTATTATTATTATTCTTAATCTACCTGTTCAAACATAACTGTTCCTTCATAACCCTGTCGTAACAGGGTTGTGAAGGAACAGGTGAGAATATGTAGAAAAAAAATAAGAATGCAATTAGTTTGGCAATAAGAAATTTTATGAATTCTTGACATAATTTAGCAATTTCACAAAAAAAATATTGAAACTTTGTGAAAAAATTTAACGAAATCGCTGCATTCACTGTTACAGATCTATAACTGGTCAAGATGACCAAATTTACAAAAATTCTACAGAAAAATTTCATAAAACATTCTTTGATCATATTTTTTTGTAAAAATCAGTCGTCAGTGTTTTCTAATCTATGTAAAGTAATTGTAAAAGTTGTTTTTTTAATGTCAGCAATGTGGAACAAAATATACTTGTGATGCACTTTGGTGTAGTGATTAATATTACTGGAATTTTATCCGAACACCACTGTTATTTTCAACACTTCGACACTTGTTTCGATCACCAAATGATCATCTTCAGGAGGAGGATTCAAAGATTCAACAACACGAACACAAAACCGTTATTTTAACACCTTGACACGTGTTTCGATCACCAAGTGATAATCTTTTTAGAGGAGGATCAAACTCATCTCCTCTTGAAGATGATCACATGGTGATCGAAACACAACATAGCAAATTACACGCATTTGATGAATTTTCGCCATGACATAAATTTTGATTGATATCGGATATTTATTCAGATGGAAGTTTCATTTATGGGAAAGTTTGTGAAGATATTTGAAAGCTAAAACCAAAAAAAATAAATTTGCCATAGAACTAATGCTCCAGAAGTACCCTGTAGATCAAATGTACTTATTACTATACGTTTTGACAAAAACAACTCGAAATGTAGGAAATAATTGTTTCATATTTCAGAGTAGTAGTTCAATGGACTAATGAAGACATTTTTTGTTTCAGTATTTACGAGAGAGATTCAAGATAGACTTACCCCATAGATTTAAGATTCATACTTTCATGTCCCCGACATTTTGTGATCACTGTGGATCATTACTTTACGGTATATTCAAACAAGGACTTAAATGTGAAGGTAAGTATATGTATATTTTTTGGGAGCTCATCGACGATGTGAAATATTTGAAATTTCAGTCAATGGTGCAATATTCAAAATTTAATGAAACTCTTACTCAAATTATGAATTAATAATTTGACAGTCTTTGAATCATTATTCATATTTTTATGTCGCACACAAAACAATTCAGTTTGATGGGTATTGTGGAACGACGTCCTTCAATTACTTTGTGGAAAAATAAACATCGCGAAATACGATCCCTTTCAGAATTAGTTGATGAGCACTCAAAGAGCAGAGTTTGTTTATTCGCTTGATTGAAACATTGTGTCTATGAATATATCGTGCACATTATTCGATTGTTTTCAAACCACTTCCGATAAAACTCATTGTTATAAAGTACATATACAAAGGATGCTCTAAAACGAATTTATGTTTGCATGTACACGTTTTGCCAGCACAACAAAATATCTGAATTTTAAATGAATTATGAATCACCCTATTGGCTGACACCATGTATATTATAAATGATGTTTACTAATAGTAACAGCCATAGAATATCTATTTTCTTCAGTTTCATGTTTCGAAAATAAAAAAATTATGGTTGATTTTATTGATGCTTGCGATTATTTTTTTTTCTCAAAAAAAATCCTAATTTCCAAATAAAATCAGTGACGATACCAAATTCAATTATATTGTGAGAAGCTAATTATGAGGAAATTTTGAATACCATCCATCAACTGAAAAATAACAAGTCACCGGGAGCCGATGGAATTATGAAATTATATACTTGAACCTCTGAAATATATAATTAACACCTGCCTTAGGGAGGAAGTTTGGCCTGATGTGTTCAAGGAGTCAATAGTGTGCCCAATATATAAAAACGGGGACGAAACCTCTGTGACTAATTATAGACCAATATCTCTGATCAACCATTTATCGAAAATCCTAGAAAAATTCATAAAAGCAAGATTAGTAAAGTTTATTAACGAATATCATTTAATTTCTGAAAAACAATTTGGTTTTAAAAAAAAGAACTTCCACAGAAGATGCTCTATTGGAGTTAACAAATGGAATTCATAAAGCCCTAGAAAATGAAAAGCCTTGTTTATGTCTCTTCATTAACCTAAGCAAGGCCTTCGATACTGTGGACCACTCTATATTAGTACAAACATTAGAAAGGAATGGAATTCGAGAAAAATGTCTCAATATTCTGAGTAGTTATTTAGAAAAAAGAAAACAAGTAGTGAAAATAGGTGATGACCTGAGTGAACTGCAATATATTGAATGTGGTGTACCTCAAGGTACTGTTCTTGGTACTGTTCTTTCCAACTTTTATGTCAACGATATGTTTGAACTGAACAGTGCAAGAAGAGTAATTGGATACGACGATGATACTACAATATTCTATCAGGCGGATACTTGGGACGAATTAGAAAACATGGAGGAAAAAGGTTTTATTCTCATAAATGACTGGTTTTGCCAAAAACTGTTAACTGTCAATCCGGAAAAAACTAAACTTATCACCTTCAGTTACAATAAATCCGGAGCTGCACCATTCCATCAAATTGAAGTACACTTACCTGAAAAAACATTATATACTGAATCTGTAAGAAGCATTAAGTATCTAAGCGTGTGTATCGATAACTTGAGGTGGAACTCCCATATCAACTTTGTTATTAAAAAACTGCGTAAAATTATTTATCAATTCAAAACTCTTAAAAAATGTTTGACCAACACCGAATTGAGAGTCATTTGAGATACGCTATTATGGTTTGGGGAAACGCATCTAGGATATATTTGAGTCCTTTGAAAATAATCCGAAAAATATCCATTCGAATAGTTCTCAATAAACCCTTCAGATTTTCTTACGATAGCCTGTTTAAAAAGTCATTTTTTTATATTGGACAGCTATATTTCATGTGTGTAAACAGGATATTTCATTTCTGTAACTCAGAAACAGCTAAGCCAGAACACGAATATAATACACGAAGTCGAAATGTACTCACCAACCCATACATACTAAAGAAATCAATTTCTCAACGAGCCTTTTCATTTGTTTCGTTAAAATTTCATAATTCGGTACAAAAAAAAGCTGGGGTATATATACTCGAACGTGGGAGATATTTTGTACAAATGCTGAACTAAGACTTCAAATACTTACCAGGACTTGACACAACTTTAACGACTGAGCTTAACGCATATTTCGCAGATGAAATTCTCCTTACTCATTGCATTATTTTATCATATTACTATATTGAAATGTTATCATAATGTTTATATACCTACCTGTTATTTCATTATATAACTTCATTGAAAATTCATTATAATTCTTATAAGATCTATTAAAAATTAATTTCATGTATGCTTTATTGCTATAAGAAAAAGAGTACTTGGGTACTTATCGTTTTTTACTGCCGTATTCATCTAGATTTAGATTTCTACGTTAATGAGAACATGAATGAAAATCCGAAAGTGACTATTCAGTGAAATGTGATGACTCACCAATTCAAATTGATTATTAACACTAGCAGTTATGAACTCATCTGAAGTTTTCTTCATCTAGTTTTTATCAAATTCTCTTGAAATCATCTGCACTCATGATCAGAAATCTAACCAATCTAGCCACCATATCCTTGAATATCTGAAAGGCTTCAACATCTTGAGCGATCATCAATATGGCTTTCGGAAACAAAGATCAACAGGCGACCTTCTATCGTATGTCACCCATATTTGGAATAACGCAACCGAGAAACGCTTGATATTTCTAAGGCCTTTGACCGTATGTGGTATGAGGGTTTGCTAGCCGAATTTCGATGCTGTGGCTTGTAGGATTATTTTTGTGTATGGCTCTCCAGCTTCCGGACGGAAAAAACGTTCCCTGTGAGTGGCCGCCGATGGATATCTGTCGAATACTTTGACCATCGACGCTGGTGTTCGCCAGCGATCCATAATGCTTCCAACCCTCTTTTTATTGTATATTAACGACTTATCGGAAAAACCAAAAATCCAATAGTATGTTTTGCACATTTGTCTCGTCATTCCATTTGGATTCTAGAACATCGGCGGAGAATACACATTTTCACCGGCAGTAGGAGGTTGCATATGTCAATGAAGATCTGGAGATGATTTAGAATTGGGTTGAAAGTAACCAGGTTCAACTCAATGCCATGAAAATCCAGGCATAATTTTTTTCCTGAAAGATATATGTTGCCGAACCGGATATAATAATATCAGGACAGACACCAATATGCCTTGGCACAATCATGTCGCTGGAATTGCAAAGGCTGTTTCTCAAAAGCTTGGAACACTGTTCCGAACCAGAAAACTGTACACACGTCAGCAACTTTTGATGCTTTATAAAGCTCAGATCAGACCTTCTTTGAAGTATTTTCTCATGTATGGAACTCCGCCCTTATACATACCCTCAGGCTGCTGGATTCCATTCAGAAAAGAGCCATGCGCATGTTTGGAGACATGGAAACTTGATACTCTAAAACATCGAAGAAAGGTTGGAGATTTGTCTTTCTTTTATAGATACTTTCACGGGAGGTGTTCAAGTAACTTGGCACGTTTGATTCCTCCAAGAGCGGTACATATCAGAAATACGTGACGGAATGTAGCTGCTCATCGTTTTGAAGTTCAACTCAGTACCCCTCGAACTTCACTGTTCAAGAACTCTTTCATATAGAGTATTGCGTTTATGTGGCATACACTTTCTAGAATCGTCTTTCCAAATGGATTCATTCTTCAGCGATTCAAATTCGCACAGGCACCGCTCTAAGAGTGTCCTAAGGATTTTCATGTTAGGTTTGTGTTTTGTCCTTAAAAATATAATAGCTCTCACTTCTAGATATCATTTGAGTTCGAAGTAAACAATAATACAGCCTATTTTCAAATTCTGCACGAACTTTGGCAAATGTTGATCTAGTAATGGCGCGACATACTTGCGTAATTCTTTCTCGCAATTCTCCAAGAGACGCAGGTTGAATTTTATAAACAACTGACTTGAGACAGAAAAAAGTCAGGTGGTGTCAAGTCTGGTGATCTCGGTGGCCACTCAATGGGATCTCTCCTTCCAATCTATTTGTTCGGTTGATTAGTATCCAACCATGGTGATCCATCTTGTTGGAAGTGCAGCAAATCTTCGTCTACAGCTAGCTTGCCTTGGTCGTCCCTTTGGTTCTCTAATTCATGCACAATTAAAGGTTCGAGATAAATATCGCCACTTAAATTGCCTGGTATGAACAAGGGACCAATTATAGCATCGCCTAATATTCCTGCCCAAACATTCAGTTTTTAAGGATATTGAGTGTGACCTTCTCTGAATCGATGCGGGTTCGTATCACTTCAGTACCGACAGTTTTGTTTGTTTACATCACCATTCAGTATAAAAGTACATTCATCACTGAAACAAATATTTTTTTTTAACATTCTCGGTTTAACGCGAATTCTTTCAGTCATGAGTTCACAAAACTCAATTCGTCGGTCTGGATCGTCATCGCCTAGTTCTTGAAGAATTTCTGTTTTGTACGGGTGAAACTTATGTAATTTCAACACCTTTCTAACCGACTCATATGAAAGTCCTCTCACTGCAGATACTTGACGTGTTGATGCAGTATGCTCCATTGCAAAATTTCCAAGGACCTCAATTTGGGTTGCTTCATTCAGTAATCTTGGGGCATCACTTTTTTATTTTGCACTGATCACGTTTCTCTAAACTTTTCAACTAAATCGCGAACGTACACGTGAAGCCCATTGTAAGTTTTAAAATTGACACACTGTATATTGATCAACATGCGCAGGATTGTAGTTTTGTCACACATTTCTTATGTTTATTGAATACCATTAGGAATTAATGAAATGGCGAATGCGCCAACGTTGACGCCGTTACGGGGCGCATACAACTGATATTGAAAATCTTATATTGAAAAAAACAGTTTATCCCGTGATAGATGAAGTAGTTTGTATGGGCGATTTTTATTGAGATCTCCTTGATATTGAAAATAGTTCAGTTGAAAAGTTTCACTCAATTTTAGAATCACCCAACTTAACACAAGTGATAAATATACCCACCAGAACAACAGCAACAACTGCTACTCTATTGAATTACGTTGAAGTAAAAGAGGGAAGTCAATTTATACATTCGACCATTTGATTATTTTTTGTGAATTATGGGTGGGTTCTAAAATTGAACAACATAAAATTATAACGTATAGAAACTTAAACAATTTGATGGAGCTGCATTTCACTACGGCCTTCTCAATTCTCATTCATCTCTTTTTTTGAAATTTATGTATAAGAAAACATTGATGAAAAATTATCTTATTTGGTTAATTGTTTTAACGACTTATTTGATAAGCATGCCCCTAATAATGTAGCTAGAGTAACGAAAGCTAAAGCTCCTTGGTTGACGTTTCCTATCGAACAAATGATGAAAGAGAGAAATGAGGCATTGAAAAAATTCAAGAAAACAAAATCTGTTATTCATTTGCAAGCATATAGAGAACTTCGCAACTTTACAAGGCAATCTAGAAAAAGAGAGAAAATAGCATATTTCCTTTATCAATTCAATGATGTCACCTCCAAAGTTATGTGGAAGACATTGAGATCCAACAACGCCTTGTCGGAAAAAATTATTAGCATTCCAAGTTATCTCATGGACCAAATCAAATTAATAAGTTTTTCATTGAATCCATCCCACTGAGCTAACCCCATCAAGACTTTATGAATTTTCACGAATCACGGACTCTGAATATTCCCACATGTCAATTTGAATTGGTTAATGACTTCTTTGCTTACGGAAAATTTCTGAGATCAAAACTAATGCAAATAAATGCGATGGACTCAATGTGGAACTTATTGAACTGTACTGTCCTCTTATAGTACCGTACATTACTCACATAGTGAATTTCTGAGAATAAGTGGTCAGCGATGTGGAAAAATACTCTTGTTGAAGTTTTACCCAAGTGGAAAAAATCGAATGAATTTAAAGACCTAAGAGCAATAAGTATATTGGCAACTCTGTTGTAAGTTCTAGAGAAGGCTATAGAAACACAGATCAAATCTCATTCAAGCAGTCACTCTTTATCTCCATCAATTCAATCCGGGTTTCGTAAGGGTACGAGAGCACTTCTCCACATCACCGATGATATCCTGAGAGATACTGATGGAGGTCAGTACAGGTCGTGAGATCGTGCTTTCGACACAAATAATTACGATTTGTTACTGAACATATTGCATCATATAGGTTTTTCAGAAAATTCACGAGTGTTGATAGACAATTATTTCAAAAATAGACAGCAGAAAGTTGTTCTCGAAGATAAGAGGTCTGAATATTTAATATTCAAGTCAGGTGTCCCGCAGGGATCCATACTAGGGCTTCTTCTGTTTTCTATATACTTCTTTCAGCTGTTGATTGGAATGAGAGCTTACAATATTGATTTATACGCCGATGATACCAACTTTACCATAGTTTCCTTCCACATATGGTGAACATATGCAATAAAACCTTTGAAATCTTTACAAAATATGAATGAATGCATGAATGCATTTAAAAAATATCGTACTCAAAACCGATAGTGAATTTGTATAAACAAAATTTCTAGAAATACTGTACCCCTTTTCAACACTTGTCACAGTAGACCAACTTAGATACCAATAAAACAAGGAATATGGTTTACTTGATAGTTTCAATCGGGTTTGGCATATCTAGCCTTGAAATGAATTAATTAACGAAAATACTAGATCAGTATCTATTGAAAATAAATGGTCACTTTATAAAGAAATCAGAGTGTCAATATTCGGAAATGTTCTACTCTTTCCAGTGATGGCCTCAATAGGAAATATAACTGAGTACAGAGTCTTACTCTAGGGTTTAATGCACTACACTTTTGATCAAATTCCTATTTCCAGAAACCATCAAGGAAACTAAAGGCTTTACACTACTCCAAATAGACTTCTCTGGTTTTTGAGATCTGGGACTCCGGAAGGCTCCAGTAGACCTCAGACCTATATTTTTCAATATAGTCAGACACGTGTTAGGAGTCACACGTTAAAAGGTAAGACCTCGTTAGTCCTTAGCTCGCACAAGTTTCTCAACTTCTGAGAGTTGTCGTTCGTATGGGCAGCTGATTAACGGAAAAACAGATTTTAAACAGATTTTTAAACATCCAAGATGATCTATCCTCCTTGTGCCAAAATAAACAAAAGGCGATTATGTACCTGCATTCTGACTGTGCTTTATTTAGAGTATTACTGCAGACTACTCAGAAGAATCCCAGATCTATGAAAATATAAAAAGAAAATTAAATAATTGGTATGTTACAGTCCACAAGTTAAAATTGGCAAATAGGTTTTCTTTGTGATCAGATTGTGTTGCAAACAATATGAAATGAAGGAGGAAAAATGGAATGTTACAAACTGAACCAGAAAATCAGTCACATAGCATTCTTCGCTGCGTTGATTAAACAAACAAACGGTTCCATATAGAACACAGTAAAATAAAGTAGGATATGAATAGAGCGCGCCGGATCGATTTGTAACATAGCGCACTAAGTGTATTACGGGTTTTATACTGCCCGGCTCTATTCACCGAATAATTGCTTCAGTCCAAATAACGAACACTGTAGGCGCTTTATGCTTTTCGACGTGTTCACTATCTACTCAATTAGTGTATATCAAAACCTAATTACAGGTATGACAGTGAACATAGTTTTGAAAGCTTTTGATAATTTTAAACCCGTTGTACGCTATGAGTGTTCTCACTTGGAATATTTCTGTTGAAGCAATTTGCAACATTTGTGTTTGTAATACCAGTAATTATGAATGTTATATCTATGTCACCTTGGATATGAATACAGAAGGTCAATAAACAACATATAACATGAATATTACTATCATTGTACGATAGCCAGATTTGATAAGCAGACAATATTGACAAATAATTTCGCCGTTAGTCGAAAAATCTTCGACATGAATATTTTTTAGTGAATACGTTGCTATGGTCTATTTCTAAGAATATGATTCGTTGATAAGAAGAATTCAAATTCCTTTTCCATGGGAAATTTTTCAATTATTTCTCCATTTAGGGGTGATCTATTTGAACTTTGATGATGATTCTGTTAATATATCTGAATCTCATAGACTTTTACTACCAAAAATGAATATGTTTTTTACATAGGTAAAAAACATATTCATTTTTGGTACAGATATGTAGACGATATTTCTGTTTCAGAGGTACTACACGACAGCTGAACCAATTTATGACATTCATGAATAATCTCAATAGCAACATTCAGTTCACAGTCGAAACAGAGATAAAGAAACAGATACATTTCTTAGACCTGACCATTACACACAAACAGAATAAATTTGAGTTCAATGTTTTCAGAAAACCTAGCTATACAGACATTACCATCCCAAGCGATTCTTTCCATCCAGACAGTCATAAATTAGCAGCCTACAATTCAATGTTGCACAGAGTATTCTCACTGCCTTTGTCTGCCATCTAGCTACGTAAATTGATATAATCAACAGATAGATGATAAGTCCGGCCGTACACAGGGAGGATGTACAATGGGTCACATGTGGCCTAAGTGCGTGGGCTTGCACTCACCCTCCCTACTCTACAGATACAGATCTCAATAGCAACATTCAGTTTACACTTGAAACAGATACATTTCTTATACCTGACCATTATACACAAACAGAATAAATATGAGTTCAAGGTTTTCAGAAAACCTAGCTATACAGACATTACCATCCCAAGCGATTCTTTAGATCCAGACAATTATAAATTAGCAGCCTACAATTCACTGTTGCACAGAGCATTCTCACTGCCTTTATCAGCTAACAATTTTGCTAGGGAAATTGATATGGTTACACAGATAGGTTATAATAATGGTTTCAATGCAGATACTATCCAGAAGTTAGTCAGAAAACAAAGCCGTAAATTCAGGGTAAGAAATGACCCTCAGGTCAAACAACCAGAAATCAAAAAATGGAAAAAGAACAGAGATAATTGCGGGTTTCTTCAGGAAAAACAATGTGCAAGTGGCATTCAGACCATATGCCAGGTGATTTCCTTTTCAATGCCAAAGATAAGGTGGACAAGTTGGAGAAATCTGGAGTTTATAAGCTTAAGTGCCCGGAGTGTAATAGTGTTTATGTGGGACAATGTGGTCGAAATTTCCAAAAACGGTATGCTGAACATGAAAGGTCCTTCAGATGGAGAAAAAACGATTCGACGTTTTCAAACCATTCCTTGGCATGCAACCACAAGTTTCAGAATCTAAACGGTACGGAAATGTTGCACTATGCAAGGAAGGGTTGCAAACTCAATTATTCAGAATCCTTGGAAATTCACAAGCATAAACATTGCGGGTGCAACCTGTTAAATGATCAAATCTATTTAGTTTACTCACCGGTTTTCGAATTATCATATCCGCATTGTAACTAGTAAACAAAGATCGGGTACTCAATCAAGCAAAGTACCTCTATTATTACCTACAGGGGTGCTAAATAAGAGCTAATTTAATCAATCATTGTTAGTTTGAAAATGTCCTTATAGAACGAAACTGCAGTAACGTTAATTACAAATGAAACTGGTAAAAAACAGAATGTTTCAATTCTCTTTTCTTCATTATGATCTCCTACCACGTAGTAACGGCTACATCCATCAATTTACTAATTATTGACATTATATTGTTAACCTCTTGGTTGAATTATCATAAATTGAGTTTGATCTATGAGAAGTCTTCTTCTTTGATGTTGATACCGAAAAACAAAATCATAAACACAGAGAATTTGGCTTTAAACAAGAAAGTTATTGAATATTTTTAGTACAAAAAAAATCACGAACATTCGAATTTGAATTTCCATCAAATGAATATCATTCATGATTATGATACAACACAAGTAAAACAAATACTACACTAAAATTCCATAATAGTTGGCATTCAATTCTCAGAAATATTGCATCGAAACGAAACATTGCTGCCATTGTTGCCAGATGATAAAACCTAACCGTGAAGGTGACGATATCTTCCCACAATGAAATCTTGGAATATCAACGATAAACGAGGTTCTCCAAGGCGATCATTTGCGACATCAACCGGATGTCAACGAGATACGTCCTTTGTCTTTCACTGCAAAGAAACTAAATGGACTTGCGATCCAATACTAGACTGCGCTGTTTCGACCAGTCAAGGTCTCATCAGAGTTTTTTTCTGATTCATTCGGCCGTTACTTGATGAATATCCATAGTAATTTAAAAAACTACACGTGATATATTTCTCAAATATAGTTTGTGGAGATCAAATCGTGAGGTGTAGTTTAGATAGACTCATCAGAGGTGTCATCAGAGAATGATTACATCTTCTCCTACAAAAACGCCATCTATGGAATCGACACTAGACTCAATTTTGGATTATTCAAACAGGAGGTCTGACAAAGTCCACGTGAATTCAGTGATATTCAGTTTATGTTCCTAGAAGTCCAATATTTGTTTTTTCAATGTACAATTATCAAAATCATCAGGGCTCAGGAATGAATATATATTGGATGTACAAGTTGTTAGCAATTGAACGTCCTTTGTCAATCAAAGAAAGCCCATTAGATAGCAGTTAAGTTCATTTCGGATTTCCACTGAAAAAATTCCAAATACAATTTTTTTGTGACTTGGAACACTCGGTATATTCTCCCATTACCCACAAAGTTCTATGGGAATATGAGTTGCACCTCTAACTGGAATTTTATCCATCAATTAAATCACTCTTCTGTTATCCAGTGTTTCGCAAATTATACATTGTGGAAACTCATTACAGCATTGTTTGTTATCACGTATACGACAATCGTATCTGCATTGCACATTATCAAGACAATGAGAATCAAATGAGTTACAACGCGAACAATGAGCGACAAAGAGTGTTTGTTTCAGTGATAATTCAGCTTATTCCATACGATTCAGGCCTTTATCCTCTCTGATTCTGTCTCCTACGTTCCGGTTGGGTTTGAACAAACTTCCATTCGCTGTAATGTGAGCAATTCTTTTGACACTCATTCCTACGGAAGACCGTTTCGGTTGCAACAAATACTTCCAAATTTCTTCCTTCCTCTCTATTACCGCTTTTTATTTTTGTGTACTCATATACCAGAGAACCCGGGGAGAAGGAAATCCTTTGAGGATGAGCCAGCAGAGAAATGAGAATAAAGTGGAGGAACAATAATCTGACTCTCATGATTGTAGGATTATACGCAAATAATAATTTTGGTTTTCCGTTGAATCGAAATAACAATCCCCGGGTATATAATATGGCTTACCTTGATCAGTAAATCAATCTTCATTTGATTCTTTCAGTTTTCAAAGCTATTAGTCACCTCTCCTAAAACTTAGGAAATTACGAGGTCTCTCAAAAAATTCATTCTTCTCAAAAAATATTTATTTATTTTCCCTCAGATATAATACACTTGTGCCAGCGTTTGTGCCACTTTTTGGTATGTCCTTGAGCTCTCTCAACCATTCAGTTTATATCTCTTCAATCGTCGCAAAACGCCACTCTTTCATGAGTCTTTTCAATCTTGGGAACAGAAACAAGTCGTAGGGGGCCAAATCTGGTGAATACGGTGGCTGAGGCATGATAACGGTGTTGTTTTTGGCCAAAAAATCACGAACAAGCAATGACTGGTGAGCAAGTGCATTACAGTGATGCAAAAGCCATGACTTTTTCTCCACAAAACCGTATGTTTTCTGCGTATTGCATCCAACAAGTGGTGCATAACTTCAAGTTAGTACTGGTCAACGACCGTACGACAATGCGGCAAGAATTCTTCAGGCTCTTCGTCGCAGTAATCGAAGGAAGAAAACAGTGAGTAAAACCTCGACATTTGATCGAACTTAGCGTTCTTTTTTTGGTCTTGGCTCTCCAGGGCTTTTCCATTGCGACAATTGGACTTTGATTTCGATGTCATAATCATATGCCTATGATTCGTCTCCAGATATGACCATTTTAGGCAAATCTGGATCGCTGTTG